TCCCACGTGATAGAAACGAATCTTGTCCCTGATTTGTCAGATTTAGACCTGTCAAAATAGGTCATCAACCTATTTCTTAATTCATATTTGATGAACAAGGTTGTTATATATGTTAGTTATATTCAGTAATTGATCATAAATGGGTGTACGTTCAACTATATTGGTCATAAATGGGTCGAATATGGGTTCTAAATGAATTCAGAACTTAATTAGATCCTATCCACCTCTATGACTTTCTCGCCCTTACTCGATTCCGCACTCGTTCACTTCGTATTTACACTTTAGTTTGGGTACGAGTTAGCTTATATTTGGTTAAATATAGAAGTGTTTTAGTAATATGAATCGAGTATGAATTGGGTATGGGTTGAGCCGAGTATGGGTCACTAGATTTGTATTACATGGAAATGGATCAATTTAGGTTGGAACATTTTTTATCCGACTCAAACCTATTCGATCCTCTGTTTGACAGGTCTAGTCAGACGACCCTCCAAAACCAAACGATCGAATCAGTACTTCCAAACACAAACAATCTCAGCCCTCCTCCCAAATTGGATGTGACTGATGAACCAGCCTCTGCAAAAAGCAAGAAGATCTTAGCCATGGACAATTTTAGTGGGAATTTGATATGCTTAACTAAAGAATGCCTCCTTGGAATAGAGCTGAGATCGCGGGTCATTACGTATTCTCATGACGTCATTCGTAGGTTTACGTTGTCTATCAGAAGATACCTGCGTTGTTCTTCAAAGAGATTACATTGACCAAGCAATAAGATCATTCGATTTACATTGCCATAATATTATGGCGTTGCAGAGAGTTATGAGCACAGAAAAACTCTTAGAGTCATTGAACATTTGCATTATTTTCCAAATCCTGCTAAATTGCAGCCATCATACTCAGGATATCAAATCTATCAGTATGTAGAACTGGTGAGAGTCAAATTGTGAGAGTTGCAAGAAAAGAAAAAAGCGCAAAAAAAAATGAAGATAAATAAAGGACAATTGTCCAACCAGTAGCGATATGGAAGAAGTTTACAGTACTGAAACTTCTTTTGATTAGACAAACCCACAACCCATAAGTTGTGTAACGCGGTTGCGGTTCGGGCGTCAAGGGATTTCTAGCTTAACAACGAGAAATCAGCCGTTGAAAATTCCATCAACTGCATGCAAACGACTCTAGTTAAAGGCAACCTGCACAAGCGAAACTCATGGACTTATTCAGTTCGTGAGTATTTTATGGTATTTCATAGACCTTTAAATAGTTGGTTGTCTGTGCTTATACCCCTGAATTATGAAATAAAAGGTTTGTATAACCGATTAAAGTATTATTAGGAATATTGGCATCGATATATCAAATAGGTATATCACAATACCAAACGTTATTTTTATTATGGAATCTCACATAACTTGTCCATGAGATTTCAAAGGGTCTTACATCTAGTGTCCCTTCCACCCAATAGCTTAAACATTTGGATGAAACGGTTGTGTGTAAAACTTTAAGTTGCTATCAGAGTTAGAGGTTTTAAGTTCGATTCCAAATGCCCCCTTTCATTTATTTATGGATTTGCCTTTTATTATGCGCAATAGGCTTAGGAAAGAAACGTCCGCATGCATCCGATTTGCATGGCCAAGGCTTTTGTTACCGAATCAACCTTCACATGAGGGAGAATGTTAATATTAAAACATATTCCGCACCACATAAGCTTTTTGATGTGGCTACTACGACGTTATCAAAGTCGGGGTGCACATGCGAAGCGTCAAATATAATGTCCCTCAGTCCACATAACTAGATATGTGGTTGGGACTCAAATAGATAAGTTTCGTGCAATTTCAAATTAGCTTGGTTTGTACTAAAAATGTTTTGGCGTGAGTAAGGTCACGACCAAAACCAACAATATCAAGCAAACGATAGGCCCATGTGAGGCTGCCCATTAGTGATATCAGAGCTACTTTTGCCCCTATTTATTTCGCATGCGTGGCTCCCCGTATGATAGCTCCACGTGCCGTCCTTGGTCCAATTTACACATGAGGGAGGGCGTTGAAAGTATCTCATAAAGTTCCTCTATGAGGTTTCATCGGACCTTATAGTTTCCATCAATATATTACTTTAATATTTTGGGGTAAACGGTCGCGAATATGACCTTTAGAACTCGAATGCGAATCTCAAGATATGTTTTTCATATCGAGATATCGCTCAATGTGCCTCCAAATTGCATACGGGTGATCTCAATCGAATAACGAATGCACTCAAAGATAGGTGTGAGAGAGAGACCATGGCCAACTCTCAAACACTCTTATCGTTCCAGGAATACCAGTGCATCAACATCTGATTAAAGCAAAGAGACAATGGAAGCAACTGTTGTATCAGAATGCTGAGTCCAGCAACGATAGTTACTAGACAACCCGGACAACAGTAGAAGAAGACTGTCTTCTTTGTTCTTTGTCCTTAAAGTAGGACTTGATCAACAACCCACTAAGGCCTAAAAGAGAGATTTTTACGTATATCTCAAAGACATGCCTTGCACGTAACGCCCCGAAACATCTGTTCCATACTTTCTCAGAATCGTGTTCGCACTGCCCTTTTTTTGTGCGCCACATTATTCACAATGTTTCCCATTTCCGACTTCGTAGCTCACATGCTTTATCCACGATGAAACTTTTAGAGTGTCCATTTGGCTTTTGCTTTAGCTTTCGACATGTTTTTATTTTTTTGTCTTTCAAATATTACTTTCAATTAATGTCGACCACTCTCAAATCTTCTTTTTTTCTTTTTAAAACAGAGTATTCAAACCTTGTGACTGAACTGATCTCCATGGATACACACAAACTATCCCGTCGATGTGCATCGAGTAAGCCTTCACCCATAAGGTAGTCGGCATGGCCACCAAGGTTAATATGAGGCAGGTGATGCTATGATTTAAACATAGAATCTGTCAAATCCTAGCCAAATGTTAATCACTCAATCAATCATCGATACTTAAGACCCTCAAATCTTCAAAAGCACATGAATGGTACCATTTACGGTCGCCATTAACTTTTAATGTTTTTCGAAATTCACCCACAATGGTCGGGTTAAAGATAAACTCTTTATATCAAAAGCCCACCCACGATGAGTTGAGACACTGAATCCACTCTCTCAAACTTGCTCTTTTTGGTACTTTTAGGCCCAGCACAACTTTGGAAGACACCTGGGACCTGAAACCTTTATTTTGTCTCAAGTATTTTGAAAATAGCATCATCTTTTCATTCATACTAAACCTGATCGTGAGCTGCGCGAAATGCTATCACGCTTTCTAATACCTGTTTACATTATCAGAATTGATAATTAGGAATAATGCAGGAGGCTGAGGGTGTTCACCGTCGCTTGCCAACTAAGTACTCGATAGAAGTTTTGCTAACATAAGCTATAAGTATAGAATGCAAGAGCTTTCATATGAACTTTTATAGCTCGCTCCCTCTTCTAAGCTGAGATTGCACCGATATCCCCGGCTCGTCTCCCCTCTCAACTTTAAACTCTGTATCTGCAACGGTTCAATAAGAATACGGGGACCGAATGAGTTGGAGCCTTGTTGAGCCGATCCAATAACTGATACTTGGTCAATCGCTCGCTCGTTCATCACAGGCCTCGCTCGGATTGAGTCAGAACAGAATGATGACCAAGCTCAACCATTCAAGAGCAAGCACCATATCCAACTCTACTCAAAGAGAATAACCTACTCTCTCTCTCTCTCTCTCTCTCTCTCTCTCTCTCTCTCTCTCTCTCTCTCTCTCTCTCTCTCTCTCTCTCTCTCTCTCTCTCTCTCTCTCTCTCTCTCTCTCTCTTCTCTAAACAATCTTGTACGTACAAAGATAATGGAGGAGACATGTCATATGACTTGATACATAAGCAGAGACTTGCTCAAGATAGGCACCACCATTAGTAGTCTTACTGGATGCCCATCTTGCGTCAATCAGGTCGCAACGTCACAAGCGATATCAGAGCATTTCCACCAGCAGTAAAGTACCTACCTAGCCAGCTAGGGGACCTGATTGCTGTTTCTAAACCTTCTCGACAAGATATTATTGCGTGCACTCAAATACATCTGGACCATTCAACTTGTCGAGACCCACATGATTTACACATAGGATGCATCGAGTTCAACATTCCAAATAGATCTCAAGTTTATGTATATGGTCCACCCCCTACTTTTTTCTTTTTTTTTCTGGAATGCAAATGAGTTTCTTTTTCCTTTTCCGGTCTAGTGTCTGCCGTGACTAATCAAATTGGTTTCCTTGATGCCATTTATTGTTGGCACACTCGGCGCACACTCAAACATGTTTTCTGGGGTTTTGTTGTTGCCAAAAAATTGAAGCAATGTTTTTACTCTTTTTGAGTAGACATTGAATGAAAGCGTGAATCGCGACTGAGTCGATTCTTTGACACAAGGACGAAACAAAGAGAGTTTGAATTGCCACACGTATCATAATTACTTGTCGTCCCACGTAACTCATCCTTACACGCCATAATTTCATGCAAAATTGAAGGTATACCTATAGTGCACAATAAAGTTGAGGACTAACGTTCATTTCGAAACCGGCTGCCAAATGATCCTCGAATCGACAAAGCGGAAGAAGGTTTTATTAACATATGAATCAGAGATACTGTGATTTACATAGAATCTGCCGGTTGAGGTGATGGAAAAACGGTAACTTGTGAGATTGCCCGACATGGTAAGACCAATCCGTTGGTATAGATGACAAAAAAACACAACTATAAAACACTAGCAAAAGTGGGAAAAAGTAAGTGTGCCATCACAGTGGGGTCTTGGTTCGACATGATTAGCTGAATCTATCCAACCCAGCTGCAAATAGGAGAATCGTGATTTGTTGTCTTGCTCTTTATTTGTTAAGCATGAACGATGTGAAGCAGATTCATAATCGAGTAATGATAGACTCGAGCGACTCGGCAAATCGTAGAGGGTGAACTGTTCCAGACTCTCATCCAAGTGAGGTAAACAATATATATAGGATCAAAATAGTCACAATAAGTTCATTATAAGATGATCGTACATTTGATCGATCGTAAGTGGAAAAACTATTTTGCCAAAAGCCATGCGAGTATAATGGAAGAACGCAAGTATCGAGTTTGGTAACATCCCATGACAATGGAAGCCACGTCTTTATTAAGTTTATGTTATGACCAGGCAAACTTAAGTACAAGACCCTAAAAAGCAGACACCCACATAAATATATTTATACTGATCTTCAAGTGAAGAGATGAGTTCTCCTTCACTAGGGAATATGCTCAAACAGTTGCAATTGGACCCAAATTGATGGATGATTCGATGGTCTTCATGGCCTCAAACCTCGGCTCCTTGGCCTGGAACTTGAGCCCTGCATAGAGCTTCATGTAGTCCTCAAACACAAACTTGGGGTACACTTGGCCCTTCTCTTCTTTGTCCACCAACTCCGGCGCCGGGTATATGATCGCATCGCTCCCAGGGTTGTAGAATGACGCGATGGACATCCGGTTCCCATCGGTCTGCGCGATCACCCGGTGCTCGATGCTCTTGTACTTGCCGTTCGTAATGACCTATCATTGCCACACAATTAAGTTGATGTGTGACCTCAAATTAAGAGCATCTCAGCTATTAATGATTTGGGATTGAGATCATAATACACATACCTCGAGTTGGTCGCCCAAGTTGATGACAATGGAGTGACGCATGGGAGGGACGTCGACCCACTGGCCGTCCTTGAGGAGCTGGAGGCCGCTGACCTTGTCGTCCTGGAAGAGGAGGATGATGCCGCCGGCGTCAGTGTGGGCCCGGAGCCCCTTGATGAGGTCCGGCTTCGGGCACGGAGGGTAGTTGCTCACCTTGGTACCGAAGGTCGGGCCATTAGACCCATAAAAGACTCTCTTCAAGTAACCTTTTTCCAAGCCTAGATTCTCACAGAGCAAGTCCATAAGCAGCTCAGCTAGCTTCTCCAACTCTAGTGCAAACTGCTTCATTGCCTTCCTGTTGAATATAATCACAAATAGGAAATATCATTAGTCTCAAAATTGTCCGACGGGACTGATTATGAAGTTTTATTCCGTACAGTGTATAGAAGGAGCGCGGTTGATACATAACTACGAGGACTGGAATCACCTGAGTGAGAGTGTGCCATTCGAAATTAGAGCTTGAATCTTCGACATCATGTTGGATGACTATTCGAAGTTTCAAATATGTGGGAAACGTTGAAAGGACTCAGAGGGTCCATAATTGTTTTGTAGTTCATATTGTTATATAGATTATGTCTTAACAGAGCGAGCAACGTTAAATGACACCGAGGCATGATTAAAAGAATTGCTCAATGATTGATCACCGGTAATCTTCTTCGAGATCGGGGACTTCGGAGATGTTAGAGACCGGGAGATGGCGGAGGTGGAAGGTGCTCTCCCAGTCGGTGTCATTGATCTCGGACTGAGTGGCCTCGAGGCCTTTGCTTGCCACCATCTGCTTGAACTTTTGCTCCATGCACTTCTTGTAATGCTCCTTGTTCAGCCTCTCCACATTGTCCAACAGTTGGTGTGATATCCCATGGTTCACCAACTACACAGCATTAGAGCACATACAGATATTCGTTATTCAAGGCCCCAAAAAACACGGTTTGCTTAATGGGTTTCGTAATAAAAGCCTAATTACCTCAAAGAAGCCCCAATTTTCACAGGCATCTTTGATCTTGGCCATGGTGGTTCCTCTCTCCTCGCTATTCAGCTTCTCCAGATCAATCACTGGGAATGACTCCATTGCACTCTCTCTCTCTCTCTGAAGGTTTTTGTGTAGCTTAATCAGTGGAGTGAAATGGGGGAGATATTTATAGGCACTGACAGTGTGATCAACAAGGAAAAGAATCAAGAAAATGGGTCTTTGAGTAATTGGCAGAATCAAATGAAAAAGTAAGAGTTACAGGTCCAAATCTAAGTTAAAAGAAGGAATTTGAACTCGTGGAGCATGAATGTGATCCCATCCCTTTATCCCTTTTTCTTCTTGATGTGCATGACCAAAAACAAAATTTGCAAATATTTTCAATTACCCACGCACGATATATGTGTGTGTGTGTGTGTGTGTGTGTGTGTGTGTCTATATTCCCTTTGCTTGGATGCTGTGAAAAATAACATCTGTGGAGCTGCTTTCACTGTCACCTGCTTGACTTGGAGGAGTCTGGTTTCAATTGGAAGTCTTTGCAAACAGGGGGACAAATCTTGAGTTTCATCTCTTTGAACCTTCACCTCAATTAACCTTGTGTCCATATTTACGAGAATGCCAAAAGTCGCCCCATCCCCAAATCCTAAATTCTCACAGCCACCCAGCACCCAAAACCAACTAAAAATAAAACTCACCCAAATCCTAATCAAGATGCTAAGATGAGTTTGTAAGAAGGAGAGATTTGATCTTTTCAGTGTGGGGTTTTGCTTAGAGGTATGTCAATGGTAACCGCAAAGATAGAGGCATGTAAATTGGTCAATGGATCAAAATTGAGGTACGCTTTTTTCTGTGTTTTTCCTCATTATCATCATCGGAGAAATAGAAAATTAGTCATCCCCATCTATTTATCTCTTTTAGCATTTGGATGGATATATAGTAACTTTACATATATCTACATGATATATGAACCATGGAGATATTACATCTAACCCTCAATTTGCCTTCCATTAATGCCAACTTTTGGGCTCAACGCTTAGGCAGATGTGTCAAATCACTTGTGAGGTGAGATACATTGTTAGTATTATCAAGGCTCCATTTGTTTCGTAGAAAATAAATAATTTGGAAAGCAGTTTCCTAAAAAATGATCGCTCGTATCGTTCAAAACAGTTAGTCAAAGTGGCAATTCATGATTAATGAAGAGGAGAACAAGATGATGTTTACACTCTCTAAACCTTTTCTTTCGTAGTAGTACATCATCAATGTAAAAATCTTATTTACATAGACAAAATCTTGATTTAATGTATATGCGCCCTTGAATCACTTTTGATTTTTGTTTAAGATTTTTGTGTATAGGAAAATAGAAGCAAAGTGAGTGGTTTAATTAAGAGAGCACTATTAAGTGTTGTTTGAAGATGAGGGGTGTTAAGTGATTACTTGCGCATTGGATAGGTTCTTTTATTTATTCAAAATTAAGGAAAAGTTGTGATTAGATTATTTTGGATCTCCTGTTTTTTAAGTGTTTTTTTTTTTGGTAAAGTAAGTAGTATATAACTTTTTAACGCGCAATATACAGCAAGTGAGGCCGAACACAAAAACCTCGTACCTGAGGAGATAAAAAGTGTCCCGATCGGTACAAAGGTGTTGCGGCTAACATAACAAGCTCAAGAAGCGCTATACAAAGAAGGCTGCACGGCAGCCAACAGACAACGACAACTACGAGGGAGGGTCAGCTGAATATGGAATCAGATATGCCCCAACTGGCTTGAATCCTTCTGTTCCGAGGATTGTCTTGAACCGGCTTGAGAGAAATGCCTTTATCTCTAACTGCCTTGGCAAGATGGTTGCGGAGAGTAGGCATAAACAGAGTGTTATTTCTGAAAACGATATTATTCCGTTCAATCTAAACGAGATGGCATAATTCCCCAAAAGCAAACCGAGAAATACGGTGATAAAAGCTATCACCACCAATAAAACGAGTACCCCATCGGAGGTTCTGTTCCCAGGACCCGTTGCGCCAAGAAAGATGACAGTTAGAAGCCCAGTATTGCGCTAGGGACCCCGTAACATTGCATCCAAAGAACAGATGATCAACCGAGTCTGGTCTAGCGTGACAAAAGGCACATAAACTTTCAGAAATTCTATGATAGTTCAAGAGGAATACCTGCGTGGGAAGCTTATTTAAGGCCATTAACCACAAAAAAAAAACCATGGCGCGGTGCAATATGACAGTCCCAAATGAAGCTATCCTGTTTTTTAAGTGTTGATAATCCTAAGTAATGAAAATAGGAATAAAATGTTGTTTGATGATGATTGATAATCGGTAGCTAAATGTTATTAATGTATTGCCAAACATAGAAAAATGACATTATTGGTAAGTTTTATCGATATATTTGGATAAATGAATTAAGTAACACATTCCTTATTTACCAAATTAAGTGATTTTTGACTCAATTAAATTATTTAAATTAATTCTATATAAGATTATCAAACAAGCTTAATCTCAATTCAGCACCTATTTGGGTTATAAAACAGCCCGTGTTAAACTTTTTCAAATAAATATGTCCGTTAGAAGTCTTCCATCTTATCTAATGATTGTGTTTATTTGCAAAACGCATCAAGTTGAACGGTTTTAGTCGAATTCTTGAGCATTATTGTTTCGAGAAAGTGAATTCCCACGCCTCTTAGCAAAACAATAATTTTATTTTCCGAAACTTTTCTTGCATGAACGATCATCTTTACGAAAATGGTGAAGAATCTATTGATGAGATGTGTCCATGAAAGATCTCTGTCTTCATCCCCACTCTGTGAAAATGGGAACAATAATTGAGCAACAGAACATCCCGGATACAAGTGCTACCATCATCATCATCAAAGGAGGTCCCGCCAGTTTGATCCAATCATTTTGGTCTTTTGATTTCTGATTTTTCCGTCCATGGGATTTGCCATGGTGATGACTGGTGACCAACTACAACATTACAGAAAAGCATAGACAGAAAAAAGAAAAAAACCAACGCATGCCAAGCAGAAAATCAAGAAAAGGTAGAACAAGATAGTGGGAAGAAAGGCGTGATGGCCAGTGAAATAAATGGGGAAGGACAATTGTTTTAATCATTGTGGATCAGCGAAAAGATTTTCGTTGTTTTGTTGGTGCGCAATTTTGTGGAGAAAATAAAAAAAAATTAAAAAGAGTAGATATTAAAAGGTGTTACAAAAAATACATTTCAATGCCATTTGAGGTTATTAACTATTTAAATCAATCTATTTGAGATCGTAGTTTATCAATCTATAAAATGCATTTCAATCACTCATTTATTTTTCAAAATCGTGTATATCGGGGGAAAATTCCAGAATACCCCTCAAGTGGGGTCATTTTCGCACAATAACCTCGGACTAGGGTTCGTCCCACAGTACTCACAAAATGTGATAACCTACACTCACTGTCAACGTAGAAATAACCAGTTATCAAATACACGCACCTCACGTTTTAATTTTGAGCCATTATCAATGTCTTTGTTGCCCGAAAATCTATATTCATTTGATGGTTAAAACTCTATATGTGTCGATGCAAGTTTTAAAAAATTATGAGAAATGTAAAAATATTATGAGTCAGCCCTCTCTGTTGTATAAAAAAAAAATCATCTTTAGTTAGTCATGTAGGAATTATGGATATCCCGACAGTTTAATTTATCACGTTTCTATATAGTCATATTGCCAAATCAGCTCTGCCTAATTGAGGGGTAAAAACTTATAAGCAAAACATAAAAGGTCCCCAAATCAAAGTCCTTGTCAAGATTCTTGATATTTGATTGCTCTCGATTTCAAACATTAAGGGTAAAAGTAAGCTTGTCCGGGGTTATTTATAGAAAATATATCTCAAGACTCGTTTCATAGCGAACCTCAAAGTGGCTCTATTTCATTACATTTCATCCGTGCATTTTTACTCATTCAATATTGCTTTGAAGTCGTTGACAAATGAGACGTCGTTTCTAGTCACTCACAAAAAAAACTAAAATATGCAAAGTCAAACATCTATCGATATGGTAGCCATGCTTTTGTCTTCTCCTACAACTGGAAACGTCTGTTGTCGTGACAGGTGGCCCTCTTTGTGCCAAATTAAGCCAAGATCGAGGAGCCAAAAGGAAAGAACATATTGAACTATTATAATCAATTAATCAATCCTCATGATTCCTGAACCCTAGAGTTTGATGCTCCTATATCGGGAAATTGTCCAAAAAGTCTTAAACCTATTGTACGACTGTCAATTCAATCATAAACATTTCAATTGTGCCAATTTAGTCATAAACCTTTTAATTGTGCCCATTTAGTCTTAAACATTTTGACGATTTGCCAATATAGTCCTTCCGGCCAATTATCTAAATAATATGTTCAGGATTAAATTGTCACATTTGAAATATTTAGGACTAAATTAGCAAATCGTCAAAAGATTTAAGACTAAATTGGCACAATTGAAATGTTTATAACTAAATTGGCCGCCGTACAATAAGTTTAGAACTTTTTGAACAATTATCCCATCCTATATCCATATCTACTTCAAGAGCGGTCCCTATAAGCTTTCTTTTGCATGTGAGGTGTGATTTTCATTCTCTAATGATTGTCAAAGGATTTAGTTCGATTGCCTAGTCGACCACACGTGCTATGCTACAACTACAAGAAGTGAGGACAACATGACGCACTTCACTAGGTTGTTTTAATTTAGAAGTTTTCTCTTGGTTGGCCACGTTCTAGTAGAAGTCTTCAATTTGCATGCTTTTGCATGTTTCTAAACAGTGGTTAGCTTAGCTATATCTAAGCGATATTATGTCCACTACAAAATATTAATGAACCTTACCCAAGTTAATTGTTCTATCCATCTTACTAATTCGAACACTCATTTGAAATTCGTTGTATCCCATAGAAATTAAATTCTTTATAATAAGGTTCTTCGGGATAATTTGTCATCTTTCTATCTTACTAACCAAAAGAGGAATTAGAAAAACATTGATGTGGAAAGTGTTGGGATTTTGGTATCCAAATCCCATAGAAGGTGAATGAGAAGTGTGGTTTAGACAGTTTTGTTTTTCACCGAACATACATGTTTTTGTTTTGGAATTTTATTTTTTTTTTGACAGATATGACTGTTCATGATTGTTCGCCT